ATGTGGAGACCGTATCTGCTTCCTTAACATAAATGGGAAGCTGATTCCACAGTAAAGGAGCTTGGTAGCTAAATGCTCTGCCACCAACAGTGACCTTTGAGACCTTAGGGACCACCAGACGTCTGGCGTTTTGTGAGCGCAACGCTCGACCTGGTTGATACGACACTAACGTGTCTTGGAGATAAGAGGGAGCCAAGCCATTTATGGCTTTATATGTTAAGAGTAGGATTTTAAACTTTATTCTGTACTCCACAGGGAGCCAGTGGAGTGATTTTAACACCGGAGTTATGTGCTCCCTCCTTTTGGTACCTGTTAAGATCCTAGCTGCTGTATTCTGAACGAGCTGGAAGCTCTTCAAAGAGGCTTTAGGGCACGCTGCCAGTAAAGCGTTACAGTAGTCGAGCCTTGAGGTGACAAACGCGTGAATGAGTTTTTCCGCGTCACTTTTAGGAAGGAAATTCCTAATTTTTAGCGATGTTCCGTAAGTGGAAGTACGCCGTTTTAGTTGCTTGGCTTATATAAGCCTTGAAGGAGAGTTCTTGGTCAAAAATGACTCCAAGATTCCTCACAGTGTTACTGGGTATTATACTGACATTATCGAGAGTAACCATCTGGTTAGTGAGGGAGTCACGCAGGCGCTTCGGACCGAGTAGGATCACTTCTGTCTTCTCCGGGTTGAGAAGTAGGAAGTTAAGAGTCATCCACATTTTAAGGTCCTTTATGCAGGCACTGAGCTTTTCTAGCTGATCTGTCTGATTAGGCTTCATCGACAGATAAAGCTGTGTGTCATCTGCATAGCAGTGGAAATTAATTCCATGCTTTTTAATAATGTTTCCCAGTGGCAGCATGTAGAGAGTAAAAAGAATCGGTCCGAGTACCGAACCCTGCGGCACACCGAATTCTACTCCAGAATAAGGCGACGAGTCCTGATTCACATTGACGAAGTGATATCGATCTGATAAATAGGATTTAAACCAGCCAAGGGCTGTTCCTCTAAGACCTATATCACATTCTAGCCTCTGCAGTAGAATGCTGTGGTCTATTGTGTCAAATGCAGCACTAAGGTCCAGTAGGACCAGCACTGACACTTGTCCATTATCGGCAGCTAGTAGTAAGTCATTTGTGACTTTGACTAGTGCCGTTTCAGTGCTATGATGAGCTCTGAATCCTGATTGAAAGACTTCAAACATATCATTTTCCTGCAGGTGGCAGCGGAGCTGCTCAGCTATAAGTTTTTCCAGGATTTTAGATATAAAAGTGAGGTTTGAGATCGGTCTGTAGTTTGTAAGTATTTCTGGGTCCAGGTTTGTTTTCTTCAGAAGGGGTTTGATTACCGCGGTTTTAAAAGCTTGTGGGACATAGCCACATTGTATGGATGCGTTTATTATATTTACGATAGGCTCAATTATCAAAGGAAGTATGTCTTTGAAGAGCCATGTCGGGACTGCGTCTAACATGCAAGTTGAGGCTTTTGAGGATGTGACCACAGAGATCACCTCTGCTTGGCTCACAGCCATGAATTTATTAAGGCCCACTGAAGAGTCTAAGTGGGAAGTCACGTATGCCGCTTCAGCCTGTCCACTACCAACAGCAGGAGTAACCTCCTCCAGCTTGTCACGGATGGATGTAATTTTATTATTAAAGAAGTGGAGAAAGTCGACACTGCTCAGTGAGCTTGGAATTTTAGGCTCGATTGCGCTATGGCAGTTTGTGAGTTTAGCGACGGTGCCAAACAAAAATCTACTGTTGTTTTTATTCGCTTCTATTAAAGTTGAATAGTATTGAGTTCGAGCCCCGCGAAGGGCCTTCTTGTAGTTTCGGAGACCTGCTTTCCACTCCCTGTGGACAGGCTCCGAGTGGGAGTGGCGATATAGCCTCTCCAATTTTCTGACGTCCTGTTTTAAAGTGTGGAGTTGAACACTGTACCAGGGCGACGATGATCTAATCCTAATGGTTTTCTGTTTTAAAGGAGCTGCTGCATTTAATGCAGATTTTAAAGACTCCATAGTGTTGCCCACCGTTTGGTCAATGACTGAGGGACTGCAGCTGCTGTGAACAGGTTCACCTGCAGCAGTATTCAACATAGGCTGTATTAGTTCTTTGAACCTTGTGATAGATTTATCATTTAAGGTTCTTTTCATTATGGTTTTATCTTGCGGGACAGGAAAGTCCTCCAAAGCGAGATCAAACGTGATCAAGAAATGGTCAGACAGCAACGAGCTTTGACGCTGGATGTCAACATTGGAGACATCACAGCCGTAGGTCAGGACAAGGTCCAAGGTGTGGTTATGAATGTGAGTAGGTTCCTCGACATTCTGAGTAAAACCAACACCATCTAGTACGGCGCTGAAAGCTTTGTTTAAGCTGTCAGTGCTGTCGTCCACATGTATATTGAAGTCTCCAGCTATAACTATGTTTTCCCATTCCAAAACTAGGTTTGAAATGAAGTCAGAGAATTCTGTTAGGAACTCGCTGTAAGGACCAGGAGGTCGGTATAAAACTATAAATAGTACTGCTTTTTGTTTTCTCCACCCAGGACAGGTGATTGAAAGTGTTAAGTTTTCAAACGAGTGAAAAGCGTTGTTGGTTTTGGGACTAAGAACCAAGTTGGTGTGTGATATAATCGCAACACCACCGCCGCGACCTGTAGCTCTGGCTTTCTGGTAGTTAACATGCGTCGGAGGAGTGCACTCATTCAATCTAACGTAGTCGTCCTGTTGGAGCCAAGTCTCCGAGAGCGCAAACAGATCCAAGCCCTTGTCTATAATAAGTTTGTTTATGAGAAGCGATTTAGACGAGATTGATCTGACGTTCATTAAAACCACATTTAACAACCCTACCGCTAGAACTATTTCTGTCTGTCTGAACTTTTATTAAGTTACTGTGTCTGACACCTAGGTCAGATTTCCTCGCATATAGTGCTTTAGACTTCAAGCGGGGAACACACACAGTTTCAATCTGACTAGGTTCTGAGGCTAGTAACTGAGCACACACAGGCACACACACACATGCACACACAGTTTCAATCTGACTAGCCTCTGAGGCTAGTAACTGAACAGATGGGGGCTCAGAGGTTGTGGCAGAGCAGCTCTGCACCCGGGCCTCAGTTCTGCATCGTCATTTGAGCCGAGCAGAACAGTTTAGAGCCAGGGCCAAATTCTTAGCCAAAAGGGATGTACCCGCCAACGTTGGGTGGATATCATCCGAGCGGATGAGACCGGGCTTTCCCCAAAAGGCACTCCAATTGTCAACATGAACAACACCACTTCGAGGGCACCAGCCAGACAGCCAGCGGTTGAAAGCCGAGTGTCTGCTGAATGCTTCTGCACTGCTAGTGCTAGGTAGGGGCCCAGAGAAGATGACAGTGTCGGCCATTGTGCTAGCCAGCTTGCACACGGCGGCGACTTGCAGCTTCAACACCTCGGACTGTTTCCGCCGAACGTCATTACCACCCGCGTGAATAACAATTCGACGGAAACGCTGCTTTACCATTTAACATGGTAGAAATTACTTTAATTGAATTGCGTATAGGGCAATCGATCCTTTGTATTTGACCCATCCTGATGCCACTAGGGCGTCTATCAGGAGCAGTTGTTACCTTTCATGCATGTTTTTAGTGGTTAGGGGAAACCGGGACACCTGGAGGAAACCGGCGCAGGCACTAGGAGAACATGCAAACCAGAAAGACCCTGTTCCGACTGGGATTCGAATCCAGGACCTTCTCACTGATTAGCGAGATTGCTATCCACTCGGCCACCGTGGCGCCTATAGACTACTTTTTTGTTTGTTTTCATTCAAGTCAGTTATGTTTTTTTTTACAGTGTTATGTGACTCTCATGCACAGTGGAAAAAAACTATAACTTCAATGTTTGGGCTGTGACCTGGAGATTTTGTGATTACTGATGGACGTCCAGTAATCACCAGTGAGCACGACTGCTTTTGTTTTCTCTAACTTTTCTCCAACTCTACCTTTGGACACTTAGAGATAGGGAGAGGAGGTCGGTCACACAGGAATAGCTCGGGGTAGAGCTATCGCTTCTCCAGGTCAAGAGGAACCAGTTGAGGTGGATCTGGCATCTAACCTCTTTAATGCCTCCACAGAAAGTTTTTCCTAGGGCACATTGGAGTGATGTGTCTCTTAGCTAGTCTGGAAACACCTTGAATAGACTCAGCAAGAAGGTTCTCGGTTCAAATCCCTGTCAAAACAGCCTTTAGTTTTGTGAAGTTTGCATGCTCTCTCCAAGACTTCTTGGGATTCCTCTGCATGCTTTGTTTTCTCCTACCACTAAAAACATAGATAAAATCTTCAAGCGCCGGTAGTCCTGACTGAGCTGAGCATCAACATCTAGAGATGGGTCCGTGGATGCTGCACCGCCATCCACGGACCCATGGCCGTTGCTCCTTTTAGGTATGGCTCCAATGTATAGAACAAATTATCCTACATGGACAATATAGTATACCTTTGTTATAATGTTGAATGACTATGGCTACAGTCCATTTTTAAACTATTCATGTTTCATTCAGGGTTTTAACAAGCAGCAACAGTATAACAAATATGATAATATATATATATATATATATATATATATATATATATATATATATATATATATATATATATATATATATATATATATAATATCTTACTTAAGTAAATGGAATTTTGAACAATATCCTATTATTTTCTATCCTGAATGGTTCCTTGGTGAAAAGTGCTTTGAGAGTAGAAAAGGGTTAGATGTAAATAAAAGGCAACAGCTCAAAACAGTCACATCAGCTGCTCACTGTCCTATTTCAATGTGAAAGTAAAATGAGAAGTTATAACAATCCAAATGTAGTACAAAGTATATTCTTTAGCCCTATGAACTCAAATTTCCTATAAGAGTGAAGCCATAACGACGCGCGTAATATCGCCTTGTTTTCCGGGGCTCGCGGGTCGCTCAGATCCCGCCTCCCCTCCCACATCTCCTCCCGCGTGTTTCTATAGTAATTTCCAGCCAATGATCAGTAGGTGTCCGCATCCCTGCTTCCTCACCTCAGCGCCAATCAGCCACACACAGCGACAGGGGCCACGGGCAGAGCGGAGAGCGCACGCACGCACCAGACGCACGGACACAACAATAACCACGAGCGGACCCTCTCGCCTCCGAGCACCTCCACGGCGCTTCTTTTGTACTTTTCCGAACGAGTCGCGAAAGTCTGGAGGGAAAAATGCTTCTTTTGTCCTGAGCGCTTCTCAAACCTGCTTTTCTCAGCTCGTTGTTCCTTGGGTTGGTTTCATCCCCTTCTATTGTTTTTATTTTACGCTTTCCATAGTGATGTCCGCGGTGCCACGCTTCTAGCATCTCTGGAGCTCTTCTCAGCAGTAGGTAGGTAATCGCAGCTTTGTCCGCTCACAGACTGTTCTCCGCCTGTGTTTTTGTTTCAAAGTCATGTGTACTTTCCTTTTACATCGTCCCGGCGTGTTTCTGTGCTGTCAAGTACTCTTCGTTTGGTCAGAATGAATTGGATGGCTTTTTATTTGCACTATTGCGCTCTGGCTTACGTGCGCATGACCTTTGATCTGAATGTCTACCACGGTGTAATTAATGGCACCGTGCTGCAGACACGCTACAAAGGCTTATCCTCTTCTCTCCATTTTCCCTCCACTTTTCTTTCCTTGGTCCATTCGTGCTTGCCGTGTCTCTCACAGCTCAAAGCATTGAACATTTCTGTCTCTCTAAACTTTGTTTACAGGCTGAAAAATCAATGTCCGTGACTTGATTGCCTTTGGGCTGCGCATTTCGCTCCAGGGGTGCATTGATTAAGTAATAATGACCCGAGGAGGGCTGATCATTAAGCTGAGGAGGTTTTGTTTACTGGTGGCTGCGGGTTGTTCCGGATCCCACATTGACATTGAACCTTCAACACGACCATGGATGCTGCTGAATATTGTTAAATTGTTTTAATGATTTGTGATGCTAATGTGTTATATACTATGTTATAGGTAATATGTGATCCTATAGCCCTAGATTGGTAGCCTATTTGTTATAGTAACATACATGTTCTATTATTGTTCTTTGCTGCTAAAAAAATAGCAGGTAAGCGCTGATGTTTCAATGAAGACAGTTTTTTACCCCTGAAAGTGCCTCATGTTTTCATATATTTGTTTGAATTGCATGGGAACCCTATATTTTTTCACTGTCCTATTAATTTTCTTTTTAAGTAGCTATTACCTTTTCCCTCTTACTTTTTGTAGTTTTGGTTATTCTGAAAAAGAGTATCCTGACTGTTCAGAAAAGCCCTTTCATGCCACGCTTGCCTCTTCTCCATGTGCACATTTATAATTCATTTTTTTGAGACAGCGGCCGAGTATCACCATGGAAGTGATTTGAAATGCTTTAGTGTTCCAGCAATGGATCAGCTTTGGCAATTAAGAGAGAAAGCCCAGAAAAGGTAATGGAAGTAGGGGGAGATGTGTCTAATGGGCTTTTATCTGTGGAAACCAAATCCAGACAGACTGGAGAGGAGAGAGAGGCGAGGAAATGGACCCCCACCCTCCTCGCACACTCTCTGCACGCACATGCTCCAGGGGCAGCTGGATCTGTCCAGGGCCTGCTCCATGATGTTAATGTAAATCCTCTACTGGCTATCTCTGCTGTCATTGAGCAAATGGGATCGAGGCTCTGAATGAACGGCAGGTGCACTTCAGAGGCTGGTCAGGGCTGTAGAGGCCTTCTCTTTGTTTACTCTGGCACACTTGTGAAACCATTACGAGTGAGGCTACTCTGGCACTTTTTCAAATTATAAATAAATGGGACAAAAAATGTGATGAACGACATAAGAAATTTGATAACTTGGAAAAGTATTTCAAAACTATTTTGAATCTCGCTCATGTATTTTAACTAATATAACTGCATTGTGGTGGTCTGTCATAGTTGTCATGCATCTGTCAACAGAAGAGATCTTTTGCTGCCTGATATGTTCATTACAAAGAATAAACAATGTGATTGGAGTATTTTCAAATTAAATTACAAGTTTTAAACAAAAGTGAGGATATGTAGTTTTGTTGTGTATGTAACACTTGTTTTTGTCTGTTCTAGCTCCTAGCATTGGAGGAGGTGAACCAGGATGATATCAGAGGATTTGTAACCAGCTTCATCTTGGACAAAGGCTACAGTAACCTCACCTTCCTCACTTAGACATCGCCGAGCCTTTTCCAGCCATGTCTAACATAAACAATCCCTTGTGCATTGAAAATGGACAGAATGCAGAGGTGTCTCTCTTACAAAAGGATAATCTTCAGGATGGTGGATTAAGCCAGCTTTTGGATTATAATGCCGAAATGGAAAGGTACAGGTCTTTTGCAAACTTTTATAAAACAAATGGAGCATTTCCACAGAAGATTGCTCGCATCACAACGCCCATTTTTCCCAGTGCGAGAATTGGCATGTCCCCTTGGAACTGTGATAACGCCATGCTCTGGGGAAGGAAATCAGCGGCAATAAACCCTAATAGGACCAGCATGCATAGAAATGACTCCCAGAGGCCGGGAAAGCCTGGCGTGCCGCCAGAGACGCTGCAAATGGCAAATAATAATTTCCTCTCTACCTTATCCCCCGAACACTGCAGACCTTTAGCAGGAGAATGCATGAACAAGCTGAAATGCGGCGCTGCTGAAGCAGAGATAATGAATCTCCCAGAACGCGTTGGAACTTTTTCCGCTATTCCGGCTTTAGGGGGCATCTCATTACCTCCCGGGGTCATCGTCATGACAGCCCTTCACTCCCCCGCAGCCTCAGCAGCCGTTACAGACAGTGCGTTTCAAATTGCCAATCTGGCAGACTGCCCACAGAATAATTCCTCAGCATCCAGTGGAAACCCAGCGAAGAAGAAAAGGAAAAGGTGTGGGGTCTGTGCACCCTGCAGGCGGCTAATCAACTGTGGTGTCTGCAGCAGTTGTCGGAACCGCAAAACGGGCCACCAGATCTGCAAATTTAGGAAATGTGAGGAGCTGAAAAAGAAGCCAGGCTCATCGCTGGAGGTGAGAACTGGGGCACTGCTTCCCTTTCTTTTGTTATTATCCTCTTGCACTCCAAAGCATTAACCTTTTCATCCAGTCACGTCCTAAGCCCTTGAAAATTGTTTCCATGCCCACCCATGCCTGAACATCCCCCTGGCTTCTCAAATCTGCCTACCCGCCTAGCCTAATTGGCAGTAATTAGGGGTGTTTGTGCGGAGCGCAAGCTGAGCTTGGCTCAGACACCCCTAATTGCTGCCAGTCAGGCTGGGGCTGGAACGCATCCGAACAACCCTGAGCTTGGCTCAGCTCCAAGCAGGGCTGGGAAATGGTTTTCAGCAGAGAGCCATCCCTCTCTGCACCCGGTCATTTTAACCAATTATGGAAACCGTCTCTAGATGGAGAGAATCAATATCCCGCAAAGCCTCAGCCTCTGACCACCAAGAGATGGTGAGAGTGATGGCAGATCTGCTGATGGCGTTCATCTAAACAGCCCTAGGCCCACTAAGGGGTAGAGCAGCTCTCTGATGTGTCAGGTGATCTAGCACTAAAACGACATCAGCACACATTACTCTGAACTAAGGATGATTTAGCTCTATTATGGTTTTTGATGGATGAATAGAGATAAATAAACAACTGTTCATCATGAGTTAACTGCAATGTATTTTCGGTACGGTGCCTTGTCTTGCTAAAGTTTCAGTTTTAGAAGGTTTTTTCAGTCCATCAGGGTTGAGTTATCCAAATCCCTGATTGCATTCAATGTGTGTCTCTGTATTCCTCAATATGGAGTAAGAATGCTATATTTTGTTCTCTAAGGAAGGATATAAGGCTAGTGTTGCACTAGTTACAAATTAAACTGTAATGCTGGATTCATGAAGTTGGTTTCAAAGCTGCTCTTTCAGGCTGTTTTTTATTATATTAGTGGTGGGACATATGACTGGTAATTGGAAGCATGTTTATTATCGTGCACATACAGGTGTGTTTTCCTAAACAGGTGTTCAGGAAGTTTATATAGATAATGCAGGGGTAGACTCACTTTTACAAAACATCCATTTGCTAAGACAGTTAGAATTACGAAGGGTGTGAAAACTCCCCAACGAATCCACACACGCTTTTAAATATTCCTTTGCTCGCTTCAGTAATTTATATTATGTACAGCTCCACCTTAAGTAATTGTTATTTTTGACTCTGTATCTATAATTACATGTGCACCGTCTGCTGCGGAAGTGGCTGTGGGTTTATGGGCATCTTTAGGTGTGAATTTTCATACAAACAAGTATAATGTGCACACTATGACCTCACTTTTCCCACCATTCAAGGGTGATAAGGATTGCTTGTCTACATGAGATTTTGAAGCAATTAAATGGTTAAAGGAAAAAAAACAAGTGTCTCGGACGCTAGTATCTCTAACCCCACTTCCAAAGCTATAAATGCTCAGGGAATATAGATTTTTATGTTTTGCCTCTGAAACAAACGATAAGCTCCTGGCAACCACTTAGATTTGGCTGTCACTGTGATCCACATGGGAATCACCCTGAACTAATTATATCTTAAGCAGCAGAGCAAAATGCAAATCAGAATTTTACTCACACTCCTGAAATCGGAGCGCCAATTTAATCTAATACCCCCTTTAATTTAGCACGCTAATGCAAAGCCCCGGAGAATTGCCCTGTGTCAGTGGCGTGTGCTTGTGCGGTTGATGCTGCTCTTTGCTACGCACAGACTCCACCATGGATTAGTGTGCTCCTCTAACCTAACATTTCCACGCCACTTGTCTTTACATCACCCGTGTTCCTACAGCTTAAAGGCCTTTCATTAACTTCCACTGGAACCTGTTGCACTTTCGGTGTTTCCTACACACTCTCAACTCTGCAAAATATTGTGCTATAATTCATTTTGGTGGATGAGTTGGTTGGTTCTTTGTTGCATACGTTCTGATAGGTGAATGGCTCCATATGAAGTCATGCGTTTTGTTGTACACTTTTTTTTGGCTGCAGCTCATGATTTATTTTGATAACTGATTCATTTAGCGGATGTTCCTTTGATTAAATGATTGGTTGTTTTAGAACTGATTTTTATCTACATTTGACGCCGAAAAAGTTTAAGTGAAGGCCCCGGAGGATATTCTAATAAATCAACTTTGCAGATAAAACAATTGTTTGATTAGAGTCAGACATTCATGGATTTCTTATTTATTTATTTTTTTGTCACTGTCTGTTTGGGTCAATCTCTCAGCATTTGTTTGTGTTGCAGCTTGTAAGTTGATTACCAGTACTCAATTAGTTTCTGATATTTGAAATAGCTTGATTAGTCAAGAAGAATCATTACTTTTTGTTCTTTAAAACTTTAAATCTACAGTCATTTTAAGAACTCTAAAACCAGTGTAACCAGTGTTGAAGTTTAGAATACTAAGTACAGACAATACATATTCAGAATAATAAGGTTTCAGTAACTATATTCAAAATACAGTTAGGATATAACAACAATATGAGAAATTCACCTTACCTTAGTGATACATGCAAGTGTATTTCTCAATAACTACAAGGCAGCAAACGGTGCAAATGTCCTGCTAATTAACAGATATACAGTATTTTTATTCAACATTTTAACCTTCTGTTGCATGTGTCTGTTGTACAGCACACAGTTGGAGGTATATCTGGTGCATATAGATGTGATAGTTGGAAGACATTCAAATCTGGTGTTGACAAGAAATGTTTTTTTTTTTTTTTGGAGTTGTTATGAACACACATTTCGATCATGTGTCATCTCATCTGAAGGTTTCTAGTGTGAAATTATAAATACCCTTTTTGCCCATGAGCAAGACACCTTGGATTCATCCAGATTAAGGGAGAGTGATTTAGACCCCTCTCTGGGTTTTTATTCAAACCTTTTTTTGCAAAACCCCATTAAGACAAAGTGGGAGAAAAGTTTTTGGATTGTTAACCATTTGACAACTAATCACACCCTCTGTTGAGATACCTACATCCAACAGCAGAATTTATAGTTACAGTTCTTTCAGGAGTTTCCAGAGATGTTCAATTGGGTTCAAGTCTTGTTCCCCGTCTGAGGTCTGGAGGACTCTGGAATAGGTTTTCATCCAGGATATGTCTTTACGGACGTTGCCATATTCATCTTCCCTGAACCCTGACGAGCCACCCTGTTACTGCCGCCGAAAAAATGTGTCTTGCAAAAATGATTCTTGGCATTTAGGCCAAATAGTTCTATTTTGATTTCATCAGACCAACAATTCCTGTAAGCTATGTTCAAGCAGACTGTTTTGTGCCTTTTACTGAGGATGGGGGTCTGTCTGGCCCCTCTTCCTTAAAGGTCGGAATGAAGTACAGTATCGATAGTCAGCCCTGGGAAGAGTCCCATTCTTTGAATAATTTCCTAATGACGGAGCACACTGTGTTGTTTGGGGGCCTTCAATGTTCCATCATTGATTTTGCATCTTTCTGTGGCTAGATATTTCAATCCCTCTCAGAGGTCTATAGAGAGTTCCTGAGAGCTCATGGCTTGGTTTCTGCGCTGACAATCACTGTTGACAGTGGGATCCTGAATAGACCCTGGTCTGTCTCTTTCCAAATCAAGTTGAACAGTAGAATTCACCAAAAGTTGGTCCAGTAGAAACATCTCATCAACCGTAATGGAAACAGGTTGCATCTGAGCATTGTAGTGTTTTAGTAACGGGTATGAATACTTTTGTACCTGCCGGTTATAAAGTGGCGTAGAATCCTGAAAATGTGTTTCACTTTGTCATTAGAGTATTACAAGTGGATTACAAGTCATCCCATTAAGGCTGTAACATCTAAATGTGAAGGAAGCAAAAGACTCTGAATGTACTGCATGCATCATGAGCAACCATTTGATAACGCTATGCAGATCAAAAGAGCGCAGCAAAGTCCAATTTACAGAAATGGTCTTGATCATTAACCACTGTTAAATATGTCCACTATCTAATCTGTGTTCTGTCGGTTGTTGATTTTCCTAAAATGGTTGAATGAAAAAGCAACATTTGCTATTGTGATGAAAGACAAGGTCCACATTTTCAACAAACAGGACCTTAAATAGTTTAGATTCAGCTCCTTAATGAGAGCACTGAAACCAAATAAGCATTTGCAGCAGGCCCTAATTTGTTTTAGGTGTGCTCAGAATAGATAAGGACAAATCTGTGGCCTTCGTCCCCTCCCCCAACCTTTGCTTCCCTGGAGATAACACCAAGTGCTCCTAGCAATCTCTGCGGGCAAAGGGGAGAGCTAAATAAAAAGGCAAGTCAAGGAAAAGCCTGAGGGACAGGCACTCTTCAGATTTGTCTATTGATATCAAACTTACTGGATTTATTCAAGCTTCAAAATTAAAATTAATTTGTTCGCAAAGGTCTAAGGGGTGCAAAAGAAGGCCAAGCGTCTTTTGAGACCGTAGGATTTTGGCTTTGTAAATCTTGCCACTAACTACTTAATTATATCTTTCTGAAAGATTGTCCCAGGCTACTTACAGCCATTGGCCACCTTATTCATTGTCATGCCCTTTTTCCCCTAAATTACTTGTGCTGTGCTGTGGATTTTCTGTCAGCTTCCATTTGCACAAAGTAGCTGTCCTCCTCAGGCCTTTGCCTCACCGCACGCTTAAAGAATTCATTGCTTTCGCCACTGCCACCAATTAAGGGCAGCTCATAATGGGAGCCGTCTGGACGATGCCCTTACATTATGTGGTCTGTCACCCCCTCTGCCCTGATTTGATTTAATATCTGTGGTTCAGTGGTGAAAAAGAGCTCATTGCCATTATCTGTATTCGGGAGCAAGTGTACGAGAAGTGATGTTTCGATGCTGGGGGTATAAGCGCTTGTGCACAGCGGACAGCGTGAAAGAGCAGGTGAGGGAGGACGCTAATGTGTGGCACTTTAAATTTTAAACAGATGAAAATCAATTATTGATGCTGACTCTGGCTGAGAAGTTAAAAGGTATCTCGTCATTACCCAAAGCCGTATGAAAAGTGTAAAGGAGAAGTCGTGAAACCGGTAGAGG